TACTACTTTTTGACGTCAAATTGATAGTTGGCTTGTGATACCTCATTTGTAAGGTCGTCTTTATTCGATGCATTTTTTAAAGATCTTAAATAAATGTAAAATAACAACATGTTTTTAGGATTTTTTTAATAGGTAAACTCTGATTGACAATACACAAGAAGATTGGCATCTACATTCCCGATTCAGTCATTGCTGGTCAACATAATCGCAAACACAGAAGGTTAAACAGTATCATGACATCGCTACGTAATTGCATAATAGGAGTGGGTAATTAATAAAGCATTAAGGTGAATGCTTTTATTCGATTTTCAACTAACTTTTGCGATTCCACGTTTATAGCAGCTGATTACTTGATTTTGCTTGCTGCCACTTGTTGCTTCATTCCGTTTAACCGCTCGCCATTGTTCGCAACAATCAGTTCTACATTTGGTTATGTTTGCTTTCTTATGTAACAGATTAACAACTGCCGAAGAATTTTTTAATTTGTCAGCAAAAAAGTTAAAAAAATTGCATTTGTATTTCAGATACAATTAAAATTCTTGCAGAACTTCAGATCTTCCATTTAATTTGTTAATTTATTTTTTTATCTCTTGCAACCGCAATACTTTATTAATTCTTTGTTTTTCGCCGATTTATTTTCATCGAAAAAAACTATCGATAGATTTATTGTTTCAACAAAGTCGATTTTACCGTTATGAGACGTCTTCAACTATCACACAGTTTTTTTCATTTCTCACACCTTCAAACGGTGGTCAAATTAAACCGTAGCAATGTTTCTTGTGATGCAATTTATTTTTTGCTTTCGTAAAGGTAGCGGACCGAAAATAAGAGGTTTCGTTTCATTCATATCTATCTAGATTCTCGGCTACCGAAAAAAAAACCTAGACAACGGTAAGGACTTGAAGAATGGCCCATTTAATATAAATTTATTAATGTAATATTTTTTATTTTTTACAGAAACTCCAAAATACCAGAAAGGATCATCTTAGCTTCTTGGGCATAGTTCTTGGAGTCATCATTGTGATTTTTCAATCTCTAAATTAAGCTCTTGGTTTATTATGTTTATATCTGCCACAGGTTGGTTGTATTTACGTTTTTCAATTTTCTGTCCTCTGCAATAAAGCCTATTATTATAATTATTATTATTATTAACATCGAAAGTTTAAGCCCTTAATTTTTCATTTTGAATTTTTCCCATTTAAAAATCATGTATTTTCAATCTCTTTTTTTAAATTTCTATATCTTTGCCGGGTTATAAGCCATCATATTGTGGTTCACTGTTACTTACCGAGTATTTAACGCTTTTTAAAAGAGCCTACAAGAATTTTTGTCTAACTCGATTCACCTTGATGGTATCAGTTTTGAAATGAATTTTTTACTTTTTTCACATATTTTAAAAAATATTAAGAGAATGGCTTGTCTTACCAACTAATTTTAAAGGAAAAAGTTAAAGAAAATTTAATTCTCTACTAACTTTATATTTTTTTTTGGTTAAGTTGTGGCAAAATTAACTTGAGCACACTCTTCAAACAAGATAGTAAAATTAATTAATTATCTATAATAATCTAGGCATCTACTTTAGATATAGTTAATCCGTCTCCCACAAAGTCGTTAAATCGTACTTTCAAACTAAATACCTAATATTAAAGCCATGAATATTCATAGCCTATAACAGTTTTTTGTTAAATTGTTTAAATTAACCGAATTTAACATAAATTTTTGTTTCCACACCACCGGTCTTACTAAATTAAGATGTACACAATTTTTTACACCTATCATATTTTTCATTGATCTCATTTTGTTTTTATGGCAATACGCCTCTGCTTTTTTTTAATTAGGGGCATCAATCCGCATTAATTGTATTTAATCGTTTAAAATCGTAAAAATGCAAAAATAATGAGCTATAAATATTAATGTGAATTATGCTGCAACACAATTCATTATCAAAAAATAATAAGGCAATAAAAACAATGATTGCATAATGTATTTAGTTTCATTGGATTACTCAAATTATGTAAAAAATACCGGACTCTAGAAAGCATAAAATTTTTGTGAGGAAAATGTGTATAATTATTTTTGCCTAATGAAGCAACATTTAAAAACAGTTTCCGTAATAATATGCCCGCTAAAATTAGAAAATTTTATTATTTATCAAATCCCTGAAAAAAATTATTAACGTAATTAGAAAACAATGACTTTGCGCGAACCACGAAGCATGCGAAAATTTTTAATTACATAACATAGTATTAGTATTGCCTGGTTGGTGTAATGGATTTTTTATTTGTATTTCGATTTATCAATTATGGTTTTGCTTAAATCATTGACAGTGATTAATACTTGTTGAAATTTTTTTAACCATAAATAGGTTAAATATCATTTTGTATACAATCAAATTTCGTAATCCCACTTCTGATTACACTAGTAAATGTATTTAAAATAATGAATGCATTCGGTAAAACAAACATTTTTACCGACTTTGAAGCGCTGTATCTTCGTTACTGTTCGTTTAATTTGTACAAAATTTTCAAAGTATAGTAACAAAAATACGGTCTTTAACAGCATATTTTTTATGTGCACAGTTTACAAGATATTTAATAGACATGGAATCTAATTTATGACAAAAATGATATGAAGAAAACACAAATTTTTTAATATTAAACTGCTCATATATTGTAAACTGTGCACTTTAGCCATATAAAGGTAAGGATTTTTTTGTACAGAATAATATTTTCTACAACTTTTTCTTTTAAAATTTTTTGGTAGGACAAGCCATTCTCTTAATATTTTGAAAAGTATGTGAAAAAAAGTAAAAAAAATTACTTTCAGAGCAGCCTAATGAATAGTGGTCAACACACGCGAGTTGGCTCTGATTTATTTCGATTATTTGAAGAATTCGCCAGGTATTTCCATTATTAATAAGCAAGCGGATTCGTTTAGAAGCGAACCGATAAATCGGACTAATAGAATCAATAAATACAAGCTGATTTATCGCGACATAAATCATGTTAATACCAGCAAAGACAAAATGCGTTGACATCATTAGGCGACAAATACCTTATTAATTGCGCGACAAGTTAATCAATGATTTAATGAATCTGACATTGATGACCAAATACTTTATTTTGACTTAACAATCAAGACCAATTTCGACGCAAAAATGACGTTAATCCTGTTACCACTCGCTCGATATCTTGAAACGGTTATGGCATCATAAAACTTAAACATTTTGATTTTCTTGAAAGCTTCCTTTTATCATAAATCCAAAAACATGGAATCGTGCTCGATGGTACTCATTAAAATCGCCTTAAGTGTTCGAATGGCTTGTATATCTAATTGAATGATGTATTGGTTTCCTATAAATAAGGCCATATGGTAAGCGCAACCATATTCCATGATTTACGTCCGATGGCTCGACACTATTCCATCTTGCCTTGTCGTTGATTTTATTTTTATGTCTTTGGTGACAGTTTTTGACGGTAATGGATCAGGATAAAGGAAGGATTATCGAGAAGATATGGTAACAGATGTTGAAGAACAGTTTTCAGTAAATTCCTATTCCTAAAGTGATATAGACATTAGGGTGATTAAAAAATCGATTTTTTTTTACTTTGGCAACTGAAAAATAGAAAGTGCTCGCCAAATTTGAGCTCCTAATAGTTAATAGTTTTCTATTTTTTCTTTAGTGCCTTATAAAAAGACCATATTTCATTATTAATCAATCGTTTAATCAAATCTTTATACATATTTTGTGCTCTACAAAAAATTGATAACTCTAACCATTTAAAAGATATTTCAGATCTAGTTTAAAGAATTTAAATTTTTTGTTATAATTTTGTATTTCAATGAAAAATAACTATTGTGAAATGAGTAATGTGTTAAATTTAACGCTCTACAAAAAAGGTCTGATGTGTTTAATTGATTTCTCTAACCGTTGAAAAGATATTCGTATCCGAATCCCAATGCGTACTGATACGAATATCTTCTCAAAGGTTAGAGTAATCAATTAAACACATTATATCTTTTTTGTAGAGCGTAATTTCCTACAAAAATATGTTATATTTATTTGACAAAAATTATTTTTCAATAAGTTACAAAATTATTATAAAAAAATTATTTGAATAAATTCTTCAAACTTTGATCTTGAATATCTTTTAAATGATTAGAGTAATCGCTTAAACACATAAGTACTTTTTTGTAGAGCATTCAATTTCCTACAAAAATATGTATAAAGGTTTGATTAAACAATAGATTAATAATAAAATATGGTCTTTTTTATAAGGGACTAAAGAAAAAATGGAAAACTGTGGAGGATATTTCTATTAATATTAAAAGCTCAAATTTGGTAGTGTCGGAAGTAAACAAAAATATTCGATTTTTTTAATCACCCTAATAGAGACATAAAGCATTGTTTAGTTTGGTATTAATCATAGTTTTTCATCTACTTACAATCAATTTTTTTCCGATTTGACAATAATAAATAGTATATCATGACTCATACATTAATTATAACGATAGATACTTAATATCCCCATGTCAGCGATAATTTCAAAATAAACGTGTATGTAAATGGTAAGCAGGGAAAGTTAATTGAAGGAAAAATAACTTCCGAATATTTTTGTTTATATTTTGCAACTAAATCATTTAGAATGTCCAAGAAATCGCGATTCTGATTAGATTGACTAGGAATTCTTTTTTAATAGCCGCATAGCTATCTTAAGTGCTCTAATTAGTTTTTTATAACGTATTAAAATAAATCTGAAATAACTATATTTTATACTAAATCTTTGTGTAAATTGCAAATTAAAAATCGAGTCACTTGACATCGTATTGTGTATTTTTCTGTGAGAACAAAACAAAACAACATCGCTCGAAAAAAACAAGCCAAACCCGGCCAGATCGTTACTGATGCCTCACGGACAATCGAAATCGTCCATAAACTATATGTTCGGCCAGATTCCGATGTTTAAAGCTTGTTATGGTTACGATAAAACCTTGCTTACTTCCGGCGACTGTAGCGCCCTCTTTCGCCCGATCCGCCCAACTAAAAATGTGTACGTAGCAGGACTGCTGTGTGACGGACTGTCGCATTATGGAATTTATAGACCGGGGAGATATAATTGACAGTTCGAGTATATTTATGTTTAATAATAGTATATCATTCGCGTATTTTAGGTCTAGGATTTTAAAAATGTTAATGACATAATACATTATGGAACTTTTAATGCAATATGTTGTAAAATTGCTTTTAAATCATTGGATATTTTTTTTCATTGTTGCATCGAAATAAGCGTTAAATTCCCTTTCATTTGATATGTCGCATGCCCATGTTTGTTCTTTGTTTTACCCGAGTTTTCGGGGTTTTAATGTTGCGATGCTCGATTGTTTTTCTGGGTTAAGTTTGTGCAAACATAGCAATGTGGGGGCTCATTTTAAAGGATTTTTCGAGTACTTTACGAATATGTTAATATTATTTTTATAAATACATAAAAAGTATTGAGTTTATATTAAAAAAAAATAATAATATATTCGTAGAGTACTCGAAAAATCCTTTAAAACGAGCCCCCACATCGCTATGTTTGCACAAACTTAACCCAGAAAACAATCGAGCATCGCCAACATTAAAACGCCGAAAACTCTGGTAAAACAAAAAACAAACATATGCTTGCGACATATCAAATGAAAGGAAATTTTACCCTCTTTCCGATGCACCAATAAAAACCTGAAAATATTCAAATGGAATACCAATCCAAATATACCTAAACCGATACGTCAAAAAAGTTGATGACGATAAAATTGTGTTGGTCAAATAAGTGGTACCTTTCTAATAGATTTATTACTTATCCAAATGTAAACCTCTCTTTACGCATTTTCCCAAGCATTAACCACCGAGAAATATTCATGTCAATACTGGTCGAGGTGTTTTTATGTACCTACGGTTAAATGAGAGCTTTAACAAGTTTTTTACGATGATTTGTACCTACGAAATTACAGTTTTTAGCGTTCATCCATGGATTTAAACCACCATTAAATAAATTAAGTTGTTTCAAATTATTATACGCGAGATATTTAATAACAAGTTTCAAATGGGAATAGAATTAAAGTATCATTATGGTGATTTTAGTAATCCAATAAAAGTGTTGGTAATTGCTGTTTGGACGCCTTGCTCAACCAATATCAGTAAATCAATTCGAAAAAACAACATTAATAACTCAATTTTTTCTTGCACACCACAAAAAATGAACTAAAAACAGGTTTATAAAAATTAACAATTAACTAAATAAAAATTTGTATTGAAATAAATCTCCTTACACTAATTATACCAGATGTCCTTAATAATAATAATAATAAAATAAAATCTATTAGTTTGTAGGATGCACCTGTGCAGGAATATGTGGGAAATAGTATATGCGAGAAATATGATTAAATCGCGACTTTAATAAGGGTAAAACGACTTCGGTACGGCGAGGCAGCGCATACCAGAAAATTACGGCCTCAACGTTCGTTAAGTTTTTCTGATTACATCTATAAATATCGTCGTCTATCTGACAGAACTGAGTGTATAAATTACGAAAAAAATTAACTTTATATCGAGACAATAAGTTGCTTTCTATATTTTTCCTTATTTATTATCCTGCAGACAGCACGATCGCGGTCTTAAGGATCTAGTTTTTAGAATTTCAGACCTTTCAATTTTTGTGAATTTTTATTGTTTCTTTTTATACCATTATAACATACAGGGTATGTTATTACTTTGTAATTCCTGGGAATTTTAAAACAAAGTAAATTTTACATGAAATAATGGTTTTTACTCTGTAGGAGCGAAAAAAAGGTATATACTCATCTTGGAGTAGTTTGAATTTTAATTCTTTTAAAAGAAAAATATTATAACTCTTAATTGTTGATTTTTATTTTACTCCTATTTGTGTATTTTTTTCCCTCTTTTAAAATTAATTTGTTTTTACTTTTTTTTGAGTATACATTGTAAATTTACTATTTTTGCCTGTTTTTATTATACACCTTTTTATTGTTTCTTTTTCTATGTTTTTTACTTCAATCCTTTTTTAAATTAACTCCCATTTAGGTTTTTTGTTTAATTTTTCTGGTACCATTTTAATTATATATTTTTTTATTATTTTGTCTTTTATTTTTTTATGTGTAAACAATTATTTTTATTTATTTGCTGTACCCAAGCAGCATTTTAAGTAAAAGCGTAGAGCTTTGAGGCAATATTACTTAATTTAAGTAAATATTTTGTTAAATTAACCTTAAAAATTTACTTTGAAGTAAAACTTTTTTTAAAGTTATAATATAAGTTTTATTTATATTATTTTTACCTATTTTAATAACCCTTAAGTTTCAACACTTTAAAGTATTATGAGGGACGTAATTTTTACGAAAGAAAATTACTTATTAGTGTATTTCACCTAAAAGAAAATTTAACGGTAATTTTAACGTCAGAATTTTTACTTAATGGTAAATTTTACTCATAAGTCATAATTTTACGATATTAAGACCACTTTATAACCGTAAATAATTCCTATTCGCCTGGTATTTTTTAGGGTTATTAGTGGGTAATAAATACTAATAATATTGACTAAACAAGGAAAAATAAGCTTAAAGTGAAAAATAAAACTTTGCGGGAATTTTTTTTTGGGCCGCCATAATGAGTTTTTTAAGATGGCATCCATTACTTATCTAAACATTTATATAATATTTTTTCATGGACATCTTTCTAAAATATAATAAGAAAAGTTTTAGTTATTAAAAAATGATTAAAACTAAATGATTTTTAAAAGATTTTATAAAATTTTGTAGGTTTTAAGTTTTGTTGAATTTTTACCCAAGCAATAATTTTTCTTAAAACCGTAAAATATTTAGAGGGCATATAATTTTTAAGACGTATCGTACCTATTTTTATCAATAAAATAATGTGCGTTTGAGTTTTAATGCAAAATATCAATGGTTTTTACAATTTAAGTTATATTTTTTAATTTTACTCTAGGGTGGCCTTTATTACTTTGTAATTACTTAAGTTCCTACCATTTTGTAAAATATAAATTAAAAGAACAAAGAAATTACGAATATCAATGTTTAAGAAAGAGAGAGCAAACATTTAGTAATTATAGCTTTATTTTTACCTAAATTTGTGGTATTTATATTGTTTTTATTACGTAATTCTCTTAGTAGATCAAAAAGGTTATTATGTGGGTAAAATAAAGAAATAAACCATTCCCCAAATTTGGTAATTTTTCGTATCTATACCGTTATAAAACCGTTTTGGTTAACCGTAAAAAATACTTTAAAGTTGACTTAGTAGTAAATTTGTAGTTATTTAAACTTAAAATGCTGCTTGGGTATACAAGGTCGGTTAAATTATGGAAAAATTCAGTAATTATAATTTCGTTATAGTAGGCTTGTATAACCTTTTTTTAAGGTTGTAAATTTACTATTTTTGCGTGTTTTTATTATATACGTACTTTTTTATTGTTTTAGGTTAACTCTTTTTTTACTTCAATCCCATTAATAATGGGCCATTATGATTATTTTAAATGAACTCACATTTAGGTTTTTTTATTTTACTCTTTTTTGTACCATTTTAATTATAATTTTTTGTAATATTTTGGCTTTTACTCTTTTTTTTTTGTAAACTTATTTTTTTATTTGAAGAGCTATTTGTGTAATTCTTTTCACTCTTTTTCAGTTTATTTATTTTTACTCTTTTTTAATATTGTAAATTTACTACTTTTGCATGTTTTTATTATATACGTACTTTTTATTATTTTAGGTTAACTATTTTTGTATGTTTTTTTACTTCAATCCCATTATGATTATTTTAAGTAAACTCACATTTAGGTTTTTTAATTTTACTCTTTTTTGTACCATTTTAATTATAACTTTTGTAATATTTTTTTTACTCTTTTTTTGTAAACTTATTTTTTTATTTGAAGAGCTATAATAGCTGTATACAATGTTGTTAAAATTAGGAAAAAATTGATTTATTACAAGCCTATTAAAATTAAATTTATAAATTGTAAAAAAGAACGGTTCTTAAAATTTTGAAAAAAAAACTAAAAAACCGTCCAAATCTAAAAATTTTTGTAACTTTGGGTATTTTGAAACAAAGTAAGTTTTACATGAAAACATACAAAACCAAATCACTCAAATAGAGTGAAAACCACTCATAAAGAATGGTTTTTCATTCTTTTGCCACGTAAAAAGTTTTTACTCTATAGGAGCAGAAAAAGGGTAAAAATACTGTTATTGTTTATGTATTTTTGAAGTAGTTTAAACTTTAATTCTTTTAAAATAAAAATATTATAACTTATTATTATTTTAATTTTACTCTTACGTATTTGTGTATTTTTTTAAATCTTTTTAAATCAATTTTTTTAATGCAGTAAATTTACTATTTTTGCATGTTTTTATTGTACACTTTTTTATTGTTATTGGTTAACTCTTTTTGTATGTTTTTTACTTCACTGTTATTATTATAATAATAATAATCTTGTTTGAATATTTTAACTATTTCGTTTTTTTTGTTTAACACGGTTTTGTACCATTTTTATTATAATTTTTTCTAGTCTTTTGACTTTTACTCTTTTTTGTGAGAACTTAATTTTTTTATTTGAAGAGCTATAGCTGTGGTCTGTTAAATTAGGAAAAAGTTGAGAAATTAGCCTATTGAAATGAAGTTTTAAAAAAGGCCAACGGTTCTCAAAATATTTGGAAAAAAAACTAAAAACTTTTACTGTGTAGAAGCGAAAAAAGGGTTAAAATACTTATTTACTCATTTAAGAGTTAAAAAATAATAATTAAGTTACGCATAATTCAAACGAATCGTAAACACAAAAATTTATAATTTTAATTAAAAAAACCGTTTAAAATTAGTACCACTTACTACAAATAACTTATTATTAAAAAAACACTACCCATGTGTCTAGAACGAAATTCATTGCAATACCTAGATAATATTCAAATTTTCGGTAATGTTTTTATTAGATATTCCGCGGATATTCCGCATTTGTTCAAGGTTCGTTCGATAACCTTCATTAACAAATTTATTTCGCCCATATCATCGCACAAAACAA